GGGGGGGGGGGGCTTTAAGTGCAATTATTGATAGAAGGGACTACACAATTGATCACAAGGGGCAGAGCTGTGCAGAGCAAGCAAGACCCAGGAACCCAGAGTGACCCACTGTCAGGAGCCAGAGCCCCACAAGACAGTGCAACAGCTGACTGACATCCCTGTGACCCAAATCATCGAACTGTGACCTCTAGGTTATGCTCAGAATGCTAGCGTCTAAGGATTCAGGAGAGAAAGAATATTGAAAGTGGTTTAAAAACAAAGTTCTGGTCCTGCATGCAGCAAATATTCAATACCGGGAGCCCCAAATTCCAGGTGTCAGAGGTTCTGTGGGGCCCAGGTCCACGTGACTGGAGCTTTGCGTAAACGCTACACGGTCAGTGCTAGATACCCACATGGCACAGCATGCGCTCGTGGGGGAAGGGGCAGGGGGAAGAAGCCGGAGGGAGGGGCTCCCACTGAACCGCAACCTCATACCATTGGGTTTTCTTCCCAGGTGTTAATCACCTTTTCCAAAAACACCAGTTTCTGTATCTTTAATTCCAAGTATCTCCTCTTACCCTGGCCACATTCAGAGAGATGACACCTGTCATCCCTGCTTTCCATCCTTAAGCGTTTCGTTTTCTCACGGAAAGGTCCAACACCTTCCAGAGGCAGGCCATCGGTGAGGGGGAGGGCGCCGTCGGCTCTCCGGAACAGGTCCACAGTCTCGGAGCTGGCGGCCTTAGCCAAGTGTGGCCCTAGGTCTTTCCCAGAGTCCTCGGGCCTCCGCGAATGCCGCCGCCGCTTCTTCTTCTTCTTTCTGTGCCGGTGGAGGTCGGTGTCCGAGCACGCAGCGGAGAGGTCCGAGTCCCGCTGATGCCTGCAGAAGGACAAGTCAGAGCTCGAACCACCCACACACACAGCCACCGGGAGAGCTGGTCCTTGGCTTCTATACCCGCACTGCGGACACTCATTCTGCAAATGCAGGTAAAATTCTTGTCTAACTCAACTGGCGTGGCTCAGCGGTTGAGAATCGACCTAGGATCCAGGAGATGGCGGTTCGATTCCCGGTCAAGGCACGGGCCTGTGTTGTGGGCTCAATCCTCAGCAGGGGGCGTGCAGGGGGCAGCCGATCAATGACTCTCATCATTGATGTTTCTCTCTCTCCCTCTCCTTCCTCTCTCTGAAATTGATAAAGACATACTTAAAAAAAAAAAGGCACTGTAACAATTTTTTTTAAGTACAGGGTCATAAATCCACCCAATTCCACCCCATCCCACCACTGTGTTTAGCTCTGCTTGGGAGCTGAGGTGATCGGTCAACTACCAGAGGAAGGAAAGAGCTACTTTTCCTGAAACCAGTGGCCAAGGGGAACTGTTTCTGCAGGTGTCTCGGCCGCATGGGAGGTGTCGGCGAGCTTTTCCTTTGGTAGCCACTATTTACCAATGACTGATGGCACCGTTTTCCCAAGGTTTCCACTTTAAGAGCTGTCAGCTGTATACAGTATAAAATGTATAAGTAACTGTGCTTATGTGTCTCATCAGGGGTAAGTCATTTCCAAGACACTCACTAACCAATTTAGCTTTTTAAAAATTCAAAAACGCATTTCCCAGATTTCAAATTGAGAAATGGAAACAGAAAAACAGACAAGGACAAAGGCAACAGAAGGCGTGTCTCAGATCCCCACTCAGGGCCTGCCGTTTCCTGCTCACCCGGCAGGCAGGGAGCGCGAAGAAAATGTTACCAGGTACAACAATGTACGTACATCTGACACTAAGAACATAGCCCAACTGTGAGGTCAAAGGCCCCACACTGACACCTACAGAGCAGCCCACTGGCTCCTGGAGGCATAAAGCTGTCATCAAAACGGCAGTGTCTTGAAAATGAGGTGTTTGGGCCTCTTACGATATCATGAAGCACAACAGCTTAAACGAGCAGAGCTGAATTTTAGAAATCTGTAAAAACAGTGAACTCTCAAAACTCAGAGATGAGAGAGACAAATCAAACTCAGGACCACAACCCGGCCTCCTCGACACCAAGCCGGTGGGAAGAGCGCGAAGCTGAGGGCCCAGCGCCTCTCTGGCCACGAGGCCACGCCCTCACCTGGCGTCTCGTTCTCGGCGTTTGTCTTTGGATTTCTTCTTCTTCTTGGACTTTTTGTGCCTCTTCACTCGAGGTTCTTCTAAAGGGCCCCTTGGTGAGCTCCTCCAGGCTTTCTTTTCTGCACACGTGTCGCTGTGTCCTATGCTATCGTACCTCCGTTTTCGTGACTTCACATTTTCATGGTCGTGGAAGCGATCGGCAAGGCGACAGCTGCTGCCTTCGGGTCCAAGTGCAATCTTGTCGCGGGCATACTTCTCGGGGTAGGGAGGCAGGGTGTGGGCTGGGCCTGCCCGGGGGCTGCTGAAGTGGTGCCGTTCCCTCTCTTTGGCCACCAGCTCATAGCCCTTTCTGCTTTTGTAACAGTCCTTGTATGGCCGGCCGCTGTGCTGGCTCACCCGGTCATAGTCTCGGTCACAGTCTCGGTCACCGTGCAGAGGCCTCCAGTCCCACGCCTCCCTGGCCGTGTACGGGACGTACCTGTCATGGTAATACCTGCACTTGTCCCACCTAGTTTTGTCTGGGTAGTACTTCTCCCGGCCCCAGGAGTGCTCACTTTCCGAGTGGTGGTACCTGCTCCAGTCCTGCTCGGACCCGCCTCTGCTCCGCGAGTGGTGGTGGTGCCTGGCCAGGCCTCGGTGCTGGCAGGGGTGGTGCGGGCCCCCACTGCAGTGTTCTGGTCGGCAGCGGGCCTGCAGGGCGTGCTCACGCGTGTAGGAGTGCCGCCTGCGGTGGTAATGGTCCTCCGTCTTGCTCCTGCTGTCCCGTGCGTGCTCCCCGCTGGAGGAGCGGTCTCTCCAGTTCCGATAATGGCCTCGGTCAACTTTCCGGAGGCTGCTGATTTTTTCCTTAACTGGAGAAGGACCCTGGACTTTTTGCCCAGCCTTATTTTCTTCACATCGCTCCCCAGGGCTTTGTTCGGGAGCCCCGCCGCCTTCTGAATGGTTCTCCGTGACTCTGTCCGACTGAGGAGAGGGTGGCCGGGTGGTAGGCGCCGCTGTGATTTTAGACGCGTCTTCCGCATCCGTGCACTTGTCTCGGCTGCTGTACACTGAGGGCTCCTGCTCACCGTCACCATCACGACATGCTGAGGGACTCGGGCTCAACCTCCCTGCGGCTTCCACTGCTGCTGAGTCCCGGGGACTCTCCGTTAATATCCCTGTCACATCCTGGGAGGCTTTACTCTCCTCCCCCGTTAGAGTCCCAGGGTCACACGGTTCAGAAAGGTGATCATCCCCAGCGGTGCTCTTGTTGGCATTACACAGATGGTTGATGCTGGGCAAAGACTCCTCGGGTTTTGCTGAACTGCTTTCAGAGACGACTTCTTTGGTAGATTTGATGCTGGGGTCCGAGAGCGGCAAAGCCTTCTTTAATTTGCTGCTAAGACTTGTGACTGTCTCCAGTTTCTCCCGTGAGTCAGGAGTGGGGCTGCCAGGCTCCAGTCCTGCCTCAGGATGCTCTGTCGGGCTTCCCTCTGTTCCAGTTACACTGCAGCCCGATCAAAACAAAGAAATAAGCAAATTAGTCTTTTGCCAGATTGCTTTATGGGTGTCTGTCACTGGCTCGTGGGGACAAACATGTCAAAACATTCACTTACTAAGTATTTTAGGCTTTTAATATATCTGATTGAAACCCAATAGTGAGCTTACCATTTTTGGAAACTTCAAATTTTCTCTTCCCCTCACTAAATAAAAACATAAAATTTTATATCAAGCCTATCTCCTACCCCATTTTTTAGCAACAATAATTCTGTGGTTCTAGCTACTTCTGTTTCCAGGTAGACTTCTACTTCTCCTTAGTAACTAAGTCTGAACAATCCACCGGGTCAGATGACAAGGGAAGGCTCTGACTTTTCCTCTGGATCCCCTTCTACCTGCAGACAGAACCAGCAGTTCCTGGAATTACTCACAACCTGTGAGAACCACAGGCTTCAGTAAATGAACTCTGCCCTGGATCGCTGGGGAGCTTCTGATGTATCGAGGTTAATGAAGCTGCCGGGAGACAACAAAACCCTCTAGTGGCACCACTTTTAGAGGAAAGTGTCTGGGAGAGAGAACACACATGAAGGCAAAACATACAAGTTTGCCATTCGATAGCTGGGAACCACTGCCCTGTAACCGCAATACACCTTAAAAGGACCAAGCGAGACAGTGCTGGCTGCCAAACTCACAAGCGTGCTAATAGCACCCCTGAGGAGAAGGAAATGTCGGCTTGAGGACATGAAGCTTTCCTGGACTACCGGCCGATACATTTTTCTTTACTTTTCTAAAAATCAAATTAACAAATTCTATAGATTATTTAAGTCATTCCAGGATTCAAAAAGTTCACTGTGAGATTCGTACAGTTAAAACTCATGACACGACCGACAAGCCCACTGCGATTTCCTCCCCAGTCACTACGTTACCTGGCGTCATCTGTCGAGCCTTTCCCTTTGTTGCCCAGTTTGAAGGTCTCTAAGATTTTGTCTTCCGGGAGAGGTGGCAACGGCGTAGGCATCAACTGCAATAAAAAACAAAGATGCTTCAACTCCAGTCGCTACTCTCTTCCTGCTGAACTCTTGCCAAGGGACCGGCCACAAATGAGTGTCAGCAAAGCCTGCCGCCCCCCACCCCAACACCCACTCACCTTTCCAGGGAGACCATTTGCCTTAGAAAAGGGGTTTTCTGAGTGTAGAGCAGGCTGGACTGGGCAACTGGCACCATCAAACGACAGACCATTTTCCTTCGGGTCGCTGTCTGTACTATTAGCACCATTTAGAGTCACGGGCTCTCCAAGCTCATGCTGAGAGGCCTCGTCATCGTCGGCCTCCAGAGCAGAGGAATTCGCGCTCTCGGGCGCGCCCAGGCCGTTCTCCCTGCCCAGGCCCTTTGCCTCCTCGTCTGACTCCTCCGAGGACTCGGCGCCGTAGGGGACCAGGACGCTTGAACTCAGCTTGGACTTGCCGTTCATCACGGGTTTGGAGCAGGACTCGCTGGGGGCCGTCTGCTTTGTGACTTTACTGGAAACTGATGTGGGAGGGGCACTCGAGGTAGACTGTGTTGCAGAAGAACTGGTAACGGTAGAAGAGGGAACAGGCTTGGTGGGATTCTCCAAAGAACTGCTGTGAAGGTTAGGCTGAGACTGACCTTGGCGAACAGGTAACTTGTTGTGAATACTGATCGTGATTTTCTGTTTCTTGGGATGTTCCGGTACAACTGAGGACCTGTTAACTGACCAGTTTTGAACAGAAGTGGAAGCATTAACAGGACCAGCCCTGTTGACATTGGAATTTCCATTAGGACTAGACATGGAACTGCTCGGCGTTTCTTTCAACAGTCCGGTCCCATTCAAGTGAGGTGGGTTCTGGAAGCAAGAAGGCCACAGCCACCAGTGAGAGCTCCAGAAAGTCACAGAGAATCCACTCTGGCTACAGACCCTTCCCATTTGGTCTTTTTCTTTTTATAAACAAGCTTCAAACACCTAGAAATACCCCCTCGCCTCACCCTCTCCTGCCTGCCTTAAACTTCATAGGTCATCGTTTTCTGGTAATTAAGCAACAGAGACAACTCTTTTTTCGAGAACAACGCCCAGACCAGATTCCTCCGGCTCCAACCTGGCAGAAGTGAGCAGGCCCCTTGGGCATGGAGTCACATGTTCTCCTTGGTTGGGTTTCTTGGGAGCCTGGTGCTATACAGGCAGAAGGAAGTGCCGGCCAGCAGGGAACTGCCGCTGGACTTGGTAGCCAGGGAGCCGGTCACATGGGCAGACACAGAGCAGCAGCTTCAGGCACCACTGGCTAGGCTGTCCCCTCCCCCACCAAGCCTCTGAATCCCAGGTTCCAACTGCTGCTGCTACACCCTAGAGGCTGTACACTGGAAGTCATGGGTGAAATCAGATTCAAGGATGAGTTTCTGTTTGGCGTTCACAATGTTTTCTTAAATATCTGAATTAGTTCCTTTAACATTGAAAGGTTTCATGGCGGGTAGGGGGAGGGGGTGCCTTGAAAAATCGATAGCAGCCACCTCTCAACCCTGGGCATGTGCTCTCCAGTTGGCCAGTGTCCTGATGTCACTCTTACGAAGAGCCCAAATCAGGAGCCCACTGCCCGCCCAGCTCCCAGAGGCCTTGGATTTGTGACTCCTCCTATAATCCAAACACTGCCCACGTCCCTAAGAAACAGGTTGCACACAACCAGGCAATCTGCTGACTCAAAACCAATCAAACTCGAACTGAAAAGCTGCTAAACACTACAGCACAGATGACAGGGATTATTCCAGCACATGGACAGGCCGTCGACGACCTCGACACTAAAGTCCACCAAAAGGCGGGCCTCTGTTCCACGATGCCTTGGAGTGTCACCAGACTCAGGCATGTCATTAGGTCTCCCAAGACACCACCTGGGAGTGAGGTCAAACCCAGCATGAGAGCAGCCAGAAAGGGCCACACCCGTGAAAGGGCTACGCAGACGTAGTGAAAGTGTTCTGCCTGTAACAGGGCCCTTTCCTGGAGTCCAGCATTAATGAAGGATCCTGGATATTTCACACAGTAAGTGAATGGAGGTCCAGCGCAGAGCTAAACTCTGGCATTTAAACACATTCACACCCAGATCTCCTTCTTGACAATTATATCCATACGCTGGGCTGGGCTTTGAAATATTTTATAATAAATGGCTTAAACATACTCTTTTGACAAGAAATTCATTACAGTGCTAGCCTAAGGATTTAAATGACACATTTAAAAAAATTAACATAAAGGTTACATTCTACCTGTGGGAAGTTACCTTTATCATGTGAGCAGGAAGCTGAGGTCCAATGAACCCTGACGTGGCCTGTTTGCTGACAACACGCTGAGTGATGACGGGCCGGGGAGAGGACTGGCCGGGGCTGTGGGCGGAATGAGTAACTTCACCTCCGTTTTTCACATCGTGGGACCTGGGGACAGAGAGTGACAGTGCTTAGGGTTACACAGGACATCTAAGAGGAGATTCATTTGTAAGCCTCAGTAACAGACCGACCTGCTGCAGGGACAGAGCTGCACACGGCTCTCCTTTAGGTTGAGGACAATGTCAGGTGCTCAGATGAGGAGACCACCAGGGTAACTGGGCAAATGGTACTTTTTAACTATATTCTGAGGATGCCACTATTTGAAGGCTATTTTGCTTTTCAGTTTAATTATATTTTTCTAATTATAAATACACAAATACCATTATAGAAAATCTATAATAAACAGAAAAGTTACAAAGAAACAAAACCGCTGTGCCACATCTCGCCCTCACAGGCATCTGTTCTTCAGATTTAGCGAGTACCCTTCATACTCCAGCCTATCCTTGTTTTTTAATAAGTGTAAAATTTCAAACTGCTCTTTCCTCCACATATATTGAGCACTTTGTCATGTCTTTCAGCTGCATAATATTTCTACATACAGACTGGCTACATTTATCTGATAATTCTGCGACTGTTGGACATTTTAGAATGTTCTTGCTTTTCAGCTATTGCAAATGAATACCTCGAAGCACACACGAGTTTCTCCAAGGCCACGAGCTTCCAGAAATGGACTGAGTGAGTCTGCAGCAGCAGCAGGAGAGACATGAGCAGTGGTGCTGGTGCTGGTGCTGCCCAGGCTGATCCAGGAAGGTGACTGGCTGCTGTACTGAGTGGCTGAGAGGGGACCACACCCATTGCTCTGAGGCCCCTTCCCAGGCCTCCACGGCCCCCAGGCCCACCCAGTTTGTGGCTGGCAGCAGAAGCCTACCCTCCTCAGCCTTTCCCTTCCTCTGAATGTGTTTGTGGTTAACCTGCCCGAGAGCTGGAAGCTAAAGCACACTCAGGACCCATCCTCAAAAGCTACATTCCTTACTCTCCCAAGCATCAAGCTCCTGCTTTAAAAATAACCCAATAATGCATTTAAATATGTTGATGAGATGAACAGAAATGACATAATGGAAAACTTGAAAATCTGTTTTCCTGACAATACCTGATATAAAAGAGAACATACGCTTGCTGACTGAGTACCGATCTGATATCACTGGTAGATACGATGGAGTCATTCATCTGATACCAGAGGCCATTGCTAGCCTGCAAGAGAGCCAAAAAAAGAGACAGTCAATACAATTAATTAGGGAAACAGGGAACACCAATCTAGAGAAATGTAAGGAAAATGGAATTGCACATTTTAACTGTCAAAGTCCCACCGTCCCCCCAAGAACGCCAGTGCTTGCTCCCTTACATGTACTGTAAAAAGAGACATTAGCAAATGCACACAGCTCACCTTTATGTAGCAGAAGTAATGGCCGGCATGGCAATTAAAACCAGTGTGCACCAGTACTGCATACAAAACATAAATAATCGGTTCTCCATTTGGCTGAGACATGTATGGTCGAATATCAAGATACTCAGGATACTTCACATCCTACACAGAAACGGCAGGAGGAAAAGGAACATTGTCTCTGAAGCACAGATCATTCCGTGTGTTCTGGTGCGGGGGAACTAGGGGGGTGTCGGGCAGGATACTGTAGAGAAACCTAACTTGCTGAACCTATGATACTGTAGAGAAACCTAACTTGCTGAACCCCATTTCAAAAGACATGATTAAGCTGGGACGTATCTGGATCTAAGTGTGTTAATGCAGTCCCACTGTACTCTTTGTTTTCTTTGAACAAATAAGAACCCACATTAAGTGAATTCTTCAAATCCATCCAAGGAGATGGTAACAGTGACAACTCTGGACTTTGGTCATCACTCATTTTTTTTTTAATAATTCAGGAATGGATTGTTTATTTCTCTTGCATGTTGCTTTCCAACCACTTCCAATCTTCAGAAAGTGGAAAGGAAATGGAGAAATTCAGTGTATTACTGATCAGAAAAGAAACCATCAAGAAAACCAACTTGGATGAACGAGCCGCCAGACGCAGCCGGGAATCCTCCCTGGATTTCAAATCACACCCCCCCTCTGTATCTACTCACCACCTCATTGACTATGGAGTCCAGATTCGAATAAGTTACCAATTTTTCCATCAGAAAATGTAACCAGCTAAAGGCTATAGAACACACACTCATAAACACAGTGACATACTACTAGCTCAATGCTTGGACGTATTTTCTGACTGCCAAGTGCTGCAAGAAGTTAGAAAATCAGGTAACAACACTGTTCAATTAGGTTGTTTATAACCCTTAATAGCTACTGACACTGAGCCGCGAAAGACTCAACATAAAAGGTTATTGATGTCTACGTACCTTAGCAATTTTTCCACCAGTAAAATTTGCAAAGCGTTTCAGAGAAAGTGTAAGAACATTGGAGGATCTGTGTATGGTGAACCTCTTTGAAGCTGGAACCATCTTTTTACACCTTGAAATAAACAGAAACAATGAATTAAAAAGATTACGTTTCTTTTGGGGGGGGAGGGTATTATTTTAGTTTTTTGCCTATTATTTCTCTGAAACATTCTAAATTAAGTTTCCAAAAGGATACTAGATCAGAAATACAACCCATTTCAACCAACAGTGAAAATATCACATTTTGAAATGCAGGGAAACTGCTTAATTAGCATGACAGGGAGAAGGCAGCTCCGGTGATTTTAAAAAGCACAGATTTCCAGGCTGGTGTGATTCTATGAAAACAAAGCCCTATCTAGATACAAAAGGAAGAGCAGTTAGAAATGCCCACGCGTTAACACAGAGAATCCCCACGGCTTGGCCAGGGGAGCCCTCTTCCCACCTGCTGCGCCAGACTATACACACAAAGCAGGGCTTCCTCAGAACATCGCTCGATTTCAGGGGGAAATGTATTAAGGAGTAATCACAATCAGGTTTCTGGCAGATCTACCCCAATCCTGGGTAAGAACCATAGAGATGAAGATCCTTAACCACTCAGAGCAAGCGGCCGCCCTCTAGCCCACCCTATACAACGGCGTGGATGAAAACGCTGCTGCTGGGCACAGGCATGGCACCCGGGCGGCACCTCCCTGAACAGCAGCACTGCAGGCAGCGGGTGGGCTTACTTCTGCCCTCCCTGCCCCCCAGCAGCAGTGAGGCCCACATCCCCCTATCTCTACAGAGGACACCTGCAGACACTGTGCCCTGGGCCTGGGGAACAGACATGCAGTGTCTCCCGGGTGGCACTGGTAAGGGACCTTTCCCAGCCAGCAGCCCGTCGTACTTGCTGCACTTGTACGAGTTCTCGCCGTCCAGCTGCTCAGGCTTCACAAACTGCTCCAGCGCCTTGTTCACACTCTGGGCAGCCTGGGGAGAGGGAGCCATGTCACCGCTCACTGCGGCTGCTGTGAGGGGCTCGGCGCGGGGGTTTACGTGCACAGAAAATGTTTCTGTTATGACGTTCATTTTTATGCGTGGACACACCAAGTTAATTCCCCTCCCGTCAAAAAAGGAGCAGCTTCAAGTGAACAAAATACGTAAGCGGCTGCTCACTGAAGCACTGTTTACGATAGTATAAAAATGGAAACGAGCCAGCCTAGCGGGCGGTTAGAGCACGGCCCTCCGGCCAAAGGGTCCCAGGTTCAACTCTGGCCCAGGGCACTGCCTCGGTTGCAGGCTCAATCCTCGGCCCTGGCCAGGCCCATGTGGGAGGTAACCAATCGATATGTGTCTCTCACATCAATGTCTCTCTCT